ATCGGCCATTTTGAATCTGATAATCACATGGTTTACTATGCTGGGACAAAGTGAAGAGGAATGGCATAGAATTCATCATCAAAAAAGCACGTTTCAAGGTCCATCTTGAAGTACAACGCTGTCTGTGATAGGACAATATCCATGCGCCTACAAGGAAGACCAGTTAATAGCACTATTACTCAAATTTATGCACCAACCACTAAAGGCAGTGAGGATGAAACTGAAGAATTCTACCAACTTCTTCAGTCTGAAATCGATCGAACATGCCATCAAGATGTATTGTTAATTACTGATAATTGGAACGCAAAGGTTGGAAACAAAGAGGCACAGCCAGCAGTTGGGAAATCTGGCCTTGGTGATGGAAATTATGCCGGAGATCACATGACAGAATTTTGCAAGACCAATGACTTGTTCATTGCAAAGAACTTTTTTTTTTAAACAACATAAAAGGTGACTATACACCTGTACCTCACCAGATAGAATACACAGAAATCAAACAGACTACATCTGTGGAAAGAGATGGTGGGAAGCAAATCCAGGAAAGCCAAAGTAGGAACTTGAACATATTCTACCTGAATTAGAGATCATCTCGAAAACAGCTTTGATGCATTAGACACTAATAAGCAAAATGCCAGAAGAGTGTCATTAACCTGAATGTTTTTGTTTACACCAAAAAAAAAAAAAAAAAAGAAATCAGACAGAATGGAAACAAATCCTGTTGCATGGTGATGCGTGGAAGGGACTGTAATCATTGCAATGAAACAAAATATAAGAAGATGGGTGTAAAACTGATATTCTCCCATGGAAACTACCACTCAGATCACAATAAACACTTTAGGAAAAAGGTCATTAAAAAGGCAAGGAAAAAAGAAAAGATCAAAATGGATGTCAGGAGGACTCTGAAACTTGCTCTCCAGAATAGAAGTGTTAAGGCAAACAGAAGAAATAAGGTAAAAGCTGAACAAAAAATGTCCAAGGGCAGATCAAAAAGACACAAAGACCTGGATTTAGGAAACCAAAAGGGAGGTACACGACCGGCATTCCTCAAGCTGAAACAAATGAAGACAATTTCAAGTCTTGACTTGAAATACTGAAGGATTCTTTGAGCAAAATATTAAACAATGCAGAAAGCATCAAAAGAAGATGAAAGTAATATATACAGAGTCACTGTACCAAAAAGAAATAGTCACTGTTCAACCATTCCAAGAGGTAACATATAATCAAGAGCCAGCTATACTAAAGGAAGAAGTCCAAGGTACATTGAAGGCATTGGCACAGAACAAGGATTAGCTCTGGGAACTGAAAGGATACAGACTGAAATCTTTCAACAAACTGATGCAGCACTGGAGGCCCTCACTCATCTAGGCCAAGAAATTTGGCCAACTGATTGGAAGAGATCCATATCTGTACCCATTCCAAAGAGAGGTGACCCAACGGAATGCAGAAATCATCTAACAATATCATGACTATCACATGCAAGGAAAATTTCACTAAAGGTAACTCAAAAACAACCGCAACGGTCCACCGACAAGGAACTACCTGCCACAGGTTCATGCCGGATCTAGACAAGGACGTGGAGTGAGGAATGCCACTGCTGACATCAGATGGATCTTGGCAGAAAGCAGAAACTACCAGATAGCTGTTTACCTGTGCTTTATTGACTACGCAAAGGCTTTCTGACTCTATGGGTCCTGACAAGCTACACTGTGGAGAATGAATATTCCGGAACACTTCACTGTACTTGTAAAGAACCTGTACAAAGACCAAGAGGCAGTTGTTAGAACTGAACGAGGGAACACTGAATGGTTTAGAATTAGGAAAGGTGTGCACCTGGGTTGTACTCTTTCACCATACTTATTAGTCAATCTGTATGCTGAGCAAATAATCTGAGAAGCTGGATTATATGAAGAAAAATACAGCATCAGGATTGGAAGAAGACTCATCAACAACCTGTGATATACAGATGGTACAACCTAGCTTGCTGAAAATGAAGAGGACTTCTTTAAAGTGTTCAAGAGCAAAGATGTCAGTTTAAGGACTAAAGTGCTCCTGACCCAAGCCATGGTATCAACAGCCTCATATGCATATGAGAGTTGGACCATGAGTAAAGAAGACCGTAGAGGATCTGTTCCACTTGAGTTATGGTGTTGGAGAAGAATATCATAGCTACCAGGGAGCAGCAATTTTCAGAGAAATGGAGACCTAGGACCACTTGTACATAAATGGTAATAGGAGCATTTATTCACCCACGCCAAAAGCTGGAAACCATTAATGCCCATTGGCAGATGACAGCGAAACAACTTGTGGTCCATCCATCCATGGAGCAATAAAAAGAATGAAGAACTGATAACTGTCCCAACACAGATGAACCTCAGGAGCATTATGCTAAGGAAAGAAGGAAGACACAGAGGACTCCGGATGAGGGAGCGTCCAAAAGTTCATGGAACCCTGACATCAGAAGCCGCAGATGGTGCCCAGCTACCACTCCCAGCTGTTCTGAAGTGGTTCACGTGAAAAGGTTCTGAATAGAGTGGGAGAAACATGTAACACAACTCAAAAGTACCGAAAAGACCAGGTGTGCTGGTCAGACAGAGCCAGGGGAGACCAATAAGAAGAGACCAGACTCACCCTCATGGCTGAATTGTCATCTAAACCATGGATAATAGTGCTGGTGGTGTGCCGTGGAGTCGGTTCCAACTCATCGTGACCCTGTATAGGGTTTCCATGGCTATAAATCTTTATGGGAGCAGAAAGTCTCATCTTTCTCCCATGGAGCGACTGGTAGTTTCGAACTGCTGACCTTGAGGTTAGCAGCCTGAATTGTAACCACTACACTCCCAGAGTGTCTTAAACGATAGGTCTGGAGTGTATGTCCATAGTGAATCCGGACACCGTGGAGAAGCGCTGGGAGGAGGGTGGGCAGAAAGCTGTTGTCGCATGGGGGGGAACTGCAGTCACTGAGATAAACGGTGTGCCTTGTTGTCCGTAAAGCTGATGATCTGTTCTGTCAACCTTCACTCGATTCACAGAAAAGGGTGTGTTTTAAAGTTGGCAGAAACTCCTCTTTAGCTGGTCTCACTATGGCCCAGGGCTCAGCGGTGACACACGTGTAAAGTGCCCAAGCAGGCTGCGTACATGTAGCAAAGTATGTATGAACAGGGCCCTCATCCATCCCACCTGTAAGGGACCCAGAGGCAAAGCCAGCAGGGAGATGCCAGCCAAGAGGCCAAAACCCTGAAGTACAATGCCTAGGGGAAACAGGGGGCCTCAGAGAGAGCCAGTGGACGTTGGGTGGGGGACTCCCTACTGAAGCCTCTCAGCTCTCCCTGTGTGGGTCAGAAGGTGAGGGCGCTGACCAGAGACCCACAGAGGCATCATGCGGACAAGAGGTGGGGTCTCCATATGTGGGAGGGGATGGAGGGGGCATTGGTGTCAACCTAGAGGCACTTGAATAAGCTCTCTCCCATTCACCCTCATCCTGTAAATTGCCATGGAGACAGCTGACCACTCAGGAAGCCCCTAAAGGTGTGGACAAGCTGAGGCGCGAGGGCGGGGCAGGGGGCAGGGGGTAGGGCCTAAATTCTTCAGGTTCAGTAAGGAGGCCCCGCTTTACAGCGCAGGGTTAACAATCTCACTAGATTCAGTGGAATATTAGAAACTCTCTGGGGCCCATTTGAGGACTTCTACTTCAGACCAAGATGACGACTCAGCAGGTTTTATATTATTTAGAGAATCCAGTTAACCCTCGCAGGCCCAGGAGGAATCCGGTCTGCTCAGCGCTTTCCCCATCTATAATTACAAGCTGCTATCCATCATGCGGGGGAGGACGCCACGCCGAAACGCCGAAAGGGACGCAGTAAGCACTTCCACTAATAGAATCAGGGCCCAACACCGCCTGGATGTTTTCATCTAAATTGGAATATTTTACAACCATTGTCCGTGGCCTCCAAGGGATCCCCAGTGGGGTCTGGGAGGACCCTCTCAGGCCCCGCCCTCTGGTGGGAGGCCGGTGGGCGGTCCCTGCCGGCTTCCAGTGGCCCCGACAATAGTGTCCTCCAAGGTGACGCGCGTCAGAGCCCCATTTGGCCCAGCGCCCCCCCTCCCCCTCCGGCTTTCAGCAGGAAGAGCCATACTTTGTCAGGGAACAGGTGTGCGCTGGCTGCGGCAGTCCAGCTTGGGGTCCTCACAACAAGAGGCAGGATTTGCGAGAGCGGGCACTGGGGGGCACTCCCAGGTAGCCGAAAAATGAAAGGGGTGGTGCTGAGGGGCTCAGTTTAGCTCAAGGCCTAGCCCTCCTCTCTCCCTCCTCTACTTCACGGGTCCTGCGTGACCACCCATGCCCACCACACACACAGCAGGGGCTTGGCAAGGTCCCAGGCCCCTCCTCCAGTGCTCAAGCCCCCAAGGCAGTGGCCTCTCACCCAAGATCCTGGGACCCTCCCCTTGCTGCCCCCTCTGGCCTGGGCAGGAGAGACATGTCCACTTGAGCTAGGCAGCTGGGGTTGCCACCCTCCAGGGAACCCCAGCCTAACCACAGGAGAGAGAGCCCAGTGGAATCGCAGGACAGTAATTAAGGAGACGGAGACCCCACCAGTTTCTCCTAACAGTGACAGCATCTGTGCCCCACTTCTCAGAGGGGGTCGGAGTTCCCCACCCTCACAGACCCCACCCACGACCACCCCAACCCTCCCCTTAGCCCTTGCGCAAAGCATACCCACCCCCAAAACTGTGGCCTCAGCATCCTCTCACCTGAGGAGGCGGGCAGGAGCAGAGGGGCCCAGTACGGTGGCCATGGCCCCCAGGATGCTGCCCCCACAGGCCCGGGCCATATGGACACCATCGTGGTGGACAAGCGTTCTTCATGTTGCTTGGAGCTCCCGGCCCCTAACCCTCCCGGTTGCCCTTCCTCTCCAGGCCTCACCCCTCTGTCTGTCTGTCCAGGCTCCAAGCCCATGCCCCAGCACTCCCCACTGGGTGGTCTCCCGCACAGCAGCCCTCACCTTGGTGCCCAGGGGGCAGTAGCCTTTGAGGAAGTCTTGGCAGACCTCCGCCTTGCGGGACACGTACACATGGCTGTAGGGACAGCTACTGTTGCTGCAGATCCCCTTCAGGAAGTAGGAGCACACCGGCATCTGGGAGGGGGGGGACCCCGACATGGAGCCCAGATGAGGAGGGGGGCAGGCCTCCCCACAAGAAGGGGGCACAGCCCCTGCCGGCACAGAAACGGGGGTACCAATAGGCGGAACAGCCTGCCCCGGGGGTCCCCACTTCACAGGCAGGCAGTCGGGGGCATGCCCTACCCTTCCCTCAGTCCCCCAGGAATGGGGCCCTGCTGCGGCCCCATACTCTGCCCCCCTAGGTCCCTGCTGTGGGGGTCACCACATCCCCCTTCCAGCAGCTGCTACGATTCAAGACTAACTGCCAGGAGTTGTTAAGCCCAGCAGTGACCTGTGGGCCAGGTGGCCCCAGTCAGGGGAGGGGACCTGGAGCTTTGAAAACACCACGTTCCTGGGGTGAGGTGTGGGCAGGGGAAAGACGGAGGGGGGGCCAGGGATGGGACAGTGGCAGGCAGGAGAGGGGGAGTAAAGAAACAAAGGGTGATTTAACGTGGCCGCTTGTTTTTAATTGTCTTTTAACTGCAGCCGCAGAGGGGAGAGGGGCTGGGGGGGTCCCTTTGGGGCAGGCGGTGGTGCGGCTGCCAACGACTCCCTTAATGCGGTTTTTGATATAGAGCCCAAATTAGCTCTAATAAAAAGGGATAATAAAGCCAACTCTTACACCAAACGAAACCCCTCCTCGCTGTCAGATCAGGGCCGTTATCAAGAGGAAAACTGCGCTCTCATTTCAATTAACCTTGTTTGCACCCCGCTACGTCCACACAAATAACAATAACATTAACTCAGGGTACTGCTGGTGCGGCGGCCGCAGACAGCTCTCAATGTGCGGGCTCCGAGCCGCAGCTAATGAACCCGAAACTCGACGTGAATCTCCAAATTGCTCACAACAGAGTTTCGGAGCTCTATTAGGGAGAAAAATGCTGATTCTCTTCAAGTTCCTCAAGGGGAAAAGCTGTTGTAGCAGCAGCCGCCTCTGCCCGGCGGCCCTCACTCTGCCTGTCCAGTACCCCTCAGCCGCTGTCACTGCCCCCTCCCGGCCCCATGGGGAACCTTGCTCCTCAAAACTGGTTCGGGGGGCAGTCATAGCTCCTGCTCACAGCCCCCTCACCCAGGGAGCCCCACCTCCACCACAAAGCTCTCTAGAACCCCCAACCTCTGACAGCTTTAAGGGGAGAAGAGGCAGGTATGGCTCAGCTCCAAGCCCCCCGGGTCTGGGGCCTGGGTGCAGGAGGCTGTGTGGCCATTGGGGTGGGGCAGGGAGAGGAGAGGGCACCTGGCAGATGACACTGACCTTGTCCTTGGAAACGTGATGGGAGAAGGGGCAGGTCCCATCTGTCTTCTTGCAGGTGCCCCGGAGAAACCTGTGGGAGGGAGGGTGAGCAGAGCCGGGCAGGTGCCCGGGAGGACGCTGTGGGAGGGAGGGTGAGCAGAGACGGGCACCTGGTACACACAGCCACCTTCTCAGGGTCATGGATGTAGGGGCAGAGCTGCCCGCGGTTGCAGCGGCCGAAGCGGTTATAGTACATACAGTATTCCTCTCTCCTCTCCTTCCTCTTCTGCCGCGCCTGGCGGATGATGGCCAGGCTGCGCTGCACGGCCCGGCTATGGAGAGGAATGGTTGGGTGAGCTGACATCAAGGGGTGCCCCCCACCCCAGCCCCAGGTGCCTACCTGACCAGGGAGTGGCTGCAGCTGCTGGCTGGCTCCAAGCGGCCTGTGGAGAGATAGGCCCGGTCATACCAAGCCCATGGTTGCAAGAGCCCCACACTCAGCTCAGGCCGGCTGAGCCTTCCTAGGGAGGAACAGCTGGGCTGGCCCCTCAGGCCCCATACTCAGGGTCTCATGGCAGGTGGTCCAGAAACATCGGGTGGCCTCTGCCCATGCACTCTGTAGTCCCTGGTGTGCCCACCCCGTGGAGTGGAGAGGGTCACTTCCTATGGCAGAGCCACGTGCTCACTGAGAACCTCGAGCAGGAGCCGCCGGCTCAGCCCCTGCAGGGCCTACCCCAGCCACAGCTCCTGGAGGAAGGACTGACCCCTGGGAAGCGGGCCAAGTGACTGGACAGCGGGCAGGCGCTGTATGCGACACACAGTACCCTTCTCCTCAGACACACACATGACCGTTTCCTGTGGCCCCTTCTGAAGTGGAGACAGAGCCCGGCCCCCTTCCACAGCCAGTTTCAGGGGTTCTCATACCACCTGCTTTCTCCCGCAGTCCCGAGTCTGGCTCCATCCACTTTTGGAAGCCGGGTCCATGACACACACGGCCGACAGTCAGGTCCTCACACCCACTGGCCTTCCCCTGGCACCTACACACCTGAATCCTTGTCTCTGAGCCTGGAGACTCCTGGGATGGGGTGTGGGAGTATCTACTTGTGTTCTGGAAGATTCAGGGATGGTGGATGGACACGCCCTGCCTGGAGCTATTCTGAGTGGAACCCACTCCCCGCCAGAGCTAAGGGCCAACTACCCTGGGGCAGTGGGGGCTCTGAAGCAGGGCTGGGAGGGGCACTCAGAGGCTCCCCTTCCAGGTCAAGGGCACATCCGGTTGATAAGAGTATCCCCCTACCCCCTGCCAGCCGGCATGGCTAACCCTGGTTGTTCGGGTTCAAGACACCATGTGCCGCCTGCCTGCCCGCCCAGAGAGGGCGGCCCTTCCCAGTTTCTGCTCTGAAAACACGTCTGTGCTCAGCTCCATGGGAGTTTTGACAGGAGCGGGAGGCACCTTTTTTAATGCTTGGCGGTGTTAAAAAATGCACATAAAGTAGCTTGAAGAGAGGCAGCGAGAGGCGCTAACACGCAGCCCGCTCACAGCCCGCGGACCCCAGGCGGCCTGGAGAGCAGAAGGTGCAGAGCCTTCTAGAGAATTCTCACCTCAGAGCATCCCAGAATAGACACCCACCCCGCCCCGCTGGCTGCACACTATCACTGCCCCTCCTCCCAGGACAGGCGGGGAGGGGTGTGTGTGAAGGCAGAGGGTGCTGGCCCGGGGCCCAGTACAGCTGCCCCAGCAGAACCAGCGTATCTGGCCAGAGCCTACTGGGACTGCTGCCCCCCATGTGCTGCCAATGGGGCTCCGGGATACCGCTCCATGTGGCCCCTGCACCGGGGAACAGGAGGCCCTGGCTCAAAGGATTGGCAGGGTGGGGCCAGAGGAGGGAAAGCAAGCAGCAGTGAGGGACCCAGGGCCAGCATTCCCCAGCTGAGGATGACCTCACACGTGGGGGGGTAAGTCCCACATCCCTGCTGCACCCATCACACCAGGGTACTCAGAATGGGCTGGAAAGCCAGCCTCAGCCCTGAGTTGTCCACTCGGCCTCACAGGTGGCCTGGGACCCCTGCTTAGCTGGGACCATGAATGCCCAGTGGTCAGGATGTACGTCCTCTGGGAAGGGCCCTGGTGTGGAGTCCTGCAGGCAGGGGCACCTTGGCTGCTGGGCCCCGAGGAAGGTTGAAGCTGGGCTGTCTGGGCACAGGAAGCTGTCCTAGAAAGGGGCCGGCACTTTCTTGCTGAAGTCCAAGTTTCGCTGACACCAGGGCAGGAAATTTATTTCTTTAATTATAATTCATAGAAGTGGGCTCCCTGGTCAGCAGCCGTCCCTACCGTGGGGAGCCATCTACCACCCTCCTAGTGGCCGGGGCGGGCTCCATACAAGGGGGATGGCTTAGGAATGGCCTTCAAGCTCCCCTCCCTAAAGGCTGAGTCTGTCCCTGCGCCACCAGGGGCCTGGCTGGGACCAGGATGTGGCAGAAGAGCAGTGGGTACCGATCAGGACGGCCTGCTCACACTGAGAGGTGTCAGGCTTAGTCTCAACACCTGAGTTTGGAGCTTTGTCCCACAGCAGTGCTGGACAGAAGCGCACTTCCGGAACCCCGCAACACCCCAGGGGTCCAAGGCTGCAGGCTCTTTGGGCTTCGTGCAGGTCGCTCGCACATCACTGGCTTCCCACTCCGTGCCAGTCCACAGTCCTACATCAATCATCCTGAGCTCTGAGCCCGGCCCTGCTGTCCAGCCCCCATGGCTGCATGGGACGCAGGCCCCTTGCTGTGACCTGCAGTCACTCTGCTCTGATGGTTTGGGGACAGACAAGGAAGGGGTGAAACTGGACTGAAACCAAAGGGTTTTTCTAGTGAATGTGTGTGATAATCAGCCCAAAGCACTCGTGTTTGGCCTTGTCTCCTAAGCCAGGCGCAGCGGATGAAGCAATCACAGCCTGGGCCCAGGGGGTCTGGTTACCACCCCTGGGGCTTGTTGCCTTTGTCCAGAAGAACACAAACTCCACACAAGACCACAGAGAATCAGGGCCCCACTAAAAGGGAGCGGGAACCCCCAGTTCTGCAGGTCTCTCCAGGCCCGTAGGGGACACAGGCACCCATGAGCTGGCCCACTCAGTCACCTGTCTGGAAACACTGGCACCAGGGAAATCCCCCAGCTGAGCTAAAGCAGACCTTGAGGAGGGCTCCCTGGACGCCAGACCACTAGCCTCAGACCCTCTCCCAGAGCACACATTCCAGTGGGATCAGCATGACCTTCCACCACCAAGAAAGCCCCCACTCAGCACCCCAGCCCTGCTGACCCCCTCCCCTGTACTCACCTGTACGCAGGAGCGGCCTGCTGCCTGCATCACTGAGCCGGCCTGAGGTCTTGGAGAGTTTGTTGGCTGACACCCGGTAGAGGACCCCGCCGATGCAGCGGTAGCCCTTGTTCCGCCACCGGGGGGCGCCTGGTGGACTTTTCCCAGCTCCAGTGGCAGCTGGGCGCAGGGACCTGAGGGGACAGGGAAGGCAGGTGCATGAGACTTGGAGGCTGTCAGCACTAGGGGCCAGGCCAGAGGCAGCCTCAAGGTTTCTGTGGTCCTAGGGGGTGCCCCCATGCCCACCTGAAGGCCCACGCACCCAGCTGGGCTGATGAGGTGGGGGTGGGCTGCTGGACAGGGGTCCCTGAGCAGAGGCTACAGGGTCAAAGGGGGCCGTCGGGGGGGTGTGGCTGCACATTGGTAAAATCTCTCTTCACACCCCCACAGGTTCTGTCCAGGAGCCCACACTCCAGGGAGATGCCAAGGGTGGGATGCTGATGGACCATCCCCACCTGTGCTGTAGGTGACCCCACCCAAGAGGCAACCTGGGCCTCATGGTCACACAGCCCACAATGAGCCTAGGACATGGGATCACATGGACCCCCAACTTCACCTGCAAGGCAGGGAGTGAAGGGGGAGCAGAGCAGTGTGAGGAGGGCGGGCAGCAGTGGCCACCTGCAGTGGGCAACTGAAACTGGACAAGCCTCTGAGGGCCCATTAGTGAGTCAGTGAGAGGATGTGTGGCCAGACCAGGGTTGTGGAGGGTCCCGGGAGCTCTAGCCTCCAGCCGCGGCTCTGGGATGGAGAGCCAGGCAGGGGCATGAGGAAGGGTTGGCCGGGCTGGTGGGGGGTGTGCTCCTGGCCCCTTCTGAAGAGCTGTGCCATGGATCCAACTGTGTCTCCCAAAATGTGCCTTTAAACGGGGCCAGGCTGTCATTCTCCGTGGTTTGGCAGGCACGTGAAGATGCCATCGTGCCTGAGGTGAGGTGGTATCATTTGTGATGGACTGTGGGCTGGACCCCAGTGGGGCCCTGGCTGGGATCTGATATAGGGGAGTTGCCCTGGGATGTGGCCAGAACCACCTTCTCTTATAAGAGGTCCCAGGAGAAAGAGGAGAGCAGAGCAACCTCAGAGCCCCCACTAGAGAAGAGCCGGGAGGGGAAGGAGTCCTTTGGGTCTGCTCTCCCTGCACTGAGAACCTCCTAGACCCAGGGGAAGGCTCACACCAAGACACATGGAAATGTCTGAGGTGGGTACCCAGCCTGCAGGGCACGTTGGGAACCCTCCTCCCCATGGTCTGCTCTCAGCTGTGGGCTGAACCATGTCCCCTAAACGGTGTGCCGAAGTCCTGAGTCCCAGAACCTAAGGACTGTGTGAAAACAGGGTCTTTGCAGCTGCAATCGACTTCGGACAAGGCTACTCTGGAGTTGGGTGGAGAAGGCGTGTGATACACAGGCAGAGACTGCGATGATGTAAGCACAGCCCAGGACCGGAGGGGGGGTGGGTCTCAGGAGGAAGCAGCCCTGCTTACACCCTGGTCCTGGACCTCCAGCCCCCAGGACTGAGAGAGAATGACCGTCTGTTGTCTGTGCTGCCCTGGACACTCACTGCCAACAGCCCCCTGGACTTAGGCCACTACAGGTCCCCCCATCTGTACCCCGATAGTCGGGACCACACGCTGGGGCAGAGTGAGTGCTGCCCAGTGCTCCACACACCCATGGGGCTGGGGCACTGGGCAGACAAGAGAACTCAACAGCTCTGTCCCCTGTGTCCCCTCCACCGCCTTGTCCCTCTGCCTCCTCGTCCCTTCCATCCCTTGGCTGCCTCGTCCCCTCTGCCACTCCGTGCCACTCTAGAGGCAACACCTTAGGTCAGGAGGGTGTTGGGGCATGGGGCTGCTGTGGCGGGTGTGGACTGCCCTCCCCATGGCTACGAGTGTCACAGCGCTGCAGCAGACAGTCACCTAATGGGAAGGACAGCCTTTGGAAAGGAACTGTATTGAGAAGAGAGGATGAAATTAATGAGATAATAGTCGGGCCAAGGACCCGGACGCGCGCCTGCCCTCCCGACGCGGGCCTGTAATTCCCTCTCTACAACGGGGCCTCAGATCTAAAGGCTTCTCCCATCCGTCCAGCAGGCCCACGCCGCCAGGAAATTTCATTAACGCTGGAAAATAGGAAAGGTATTAAGCGTGGATAATGAAGGCCAGGGAGGGAGCAGCGCCGTAAGATGGTCTCTTTCGCGCCTTTGTAATGGGAGGCATGAACTTTCCCTTCAAATCCATTTCTAATCCATTTGAAATACTGCAGCAAATTATCTCCCCTTCAGCCCGAAAGCGACCAGCCAATTTACTCCGAATACAAGTGACAATGCACTAGGATTTATCACCATAACCTTGACTGTACAGGGTGAGGGCCCGGCAGGGGCACAGGACGAGGTGGGGAGACAGTGCTAGGGAAGAGCAGAAGAGGTGGCACACAGACACGACCCGCAGCAGAGTCTGTTTTAAGGTAAAACAAGCTGCCCACCACCCACTCGCCAGGCGAGCACTGCCCAACCTGCCAGCCAGCCCACTACATCCAGCGGGCGGAGGGGCTGAGACCGGGTCACTTCCAGTCAAAGGCCTAGGGCGGAGGGACCCCGTGGGGCCACGTGACAGAAGGGCTTCCCCCAGACATCAGGGCTTCTCTCCGGAGAGTGCCCACAGACAAGGGCTAAGACTGTCCCAGTACTGCCCACGTGGCCAGAGCACCCCTGGGCCCCCTACACTCGGCCTGTCCTGAGTCTCAACATCGCGTCCAGAACCAACCCCATCCAAGTCAGCCTGCCCCAAGGGCACGTGTAAACACCAGACAGGCTCCTCACACACACAACCCACATGCTCCCAATGCGCACACCCTCCCTGGGGGGATGACATCTCCAGTTACAGATCACAGACTACCCTGGGGTCCCTGCAGGTCCCCTTCCTGCACCTGCCAGATCGGGGTCCCTGGGAGTCCTGTTCTCCCTGCCCCAAGATCTGCCTGGCCTCTCCCATGCCCTTCCAATGGGTTGGTCTGTAAACCAGTTTAGATCAAGTCTTCCCACTCAATACCTCACAGTGGCTCCCACATAGTCATAGTGATGACTGCATCCAGAGGCCCAGCATGGCCTTGCCCCCACACCTGCGTGCAGCTCCAGACACCTCTGTTCCTGCCACTACCACCTGTGGGATTCAAGATACCCTCACAGGTCACCTCCTCCAGGAAGCCCTCTTGGATTCAACTCAGTGGGGCCTGGCTTGCTCTCTGAGTGCCCAGTGTCTGCCCTATCCCACCCCCCAACACAGCAAGGTCCAGGAGCTCTAGCAGGTATGAGGTATGGGCAGGGCTGGCATGGTGGGAGGGGGTGGTCTGCACACAGGGCCAGGTGAGTCCATAGTGACTGGGTGGTGGGGGTAGGGCAGAGTGGGCAGAAGGTCTGAGGGGGCAGGCAGGCAGGCAGATGAGAAAGGCTTGCAGCTTGACTCTGGAGACGGGCAAGGCCCCATGGAGACCCATGATCTGGGGGTACAGGCACTCAGCTGGCACAGGGCAGGCTAGGCATGCCTGGTCCTTAGAAGGCTGGCTACTGTGGTTTATAGAGCTGAGGTGTGAGTCGGGGTGGACAAGGACATCACCCAGATGGAAGGTGGGAGGACAGAGTAAGGCCAAGGTCAGAGAGAGGGAGTGGTTTTAAGGAAGACGTGGACAGGCGGGGTGGGGGTATCGCATGGGGTGGGCTCCCAGCATCCCAGCACTCCGGACAGGCTTGGCAGGCAGGCCAGCAGGAGCAGAGCAAAGAACCGGGGAAGCATTTTTCAGGAAATGGAGCAGATTTTTCCAGCTCCGAGCCCGAGCAGAATGCCGAGTCAGCAGCAGAGGGGTGGCCCGGGGGAGGCGGCTCGGCACAGCGAATCCCCAAGTAGGTCAGGCACTGCCTGCCTCACCGTGACAGCGGCTCCTCAAAACTGCTTAAGTGGGCTTTCCACCGGAAACGCTGACGGGGGCCACTCGGCTTACAGCTCAGCCGGCAGTCAGCTCGGGAGGGGTGCAGGCATGTGAGCATGCGCATGCGTGTGCAGGCTCATGTGCAAGTAAGTGTGTATACAGGTGCCTGTGTTCAGATGTATGTGTACTCAGCAGATCTGTACCCCAGCACTGGGCCCACCCCACTGCCCTGCTCCCTGAGAAGCAGAATCCTCCCCTTCCCAATACAAAGCTTTTCCGGCTCTGACATAGCTGGGTGTTACCAGGCGCCTCCTCAGTGTGGTCTGGTGCCGTCCAGCCGAGTCCCTGCCTACCCTGTACCCCGCCATGCTCCCCTGCCTTCCACACTTCTGGGTAGGGGACTGAGGAGGCGCGAGTTGTACAGGAGGTCAGGGCTGTAGACTCTGAGGTTAGGCGGAGGTCTCATGGCCACTCTAGGTAGAGGCCAGCAACCAGGCACCCACTCGGCTGGCTTCTTGGCCTTCCTCTCACACACTGACCAAGGATGGAGTGGGAATCCGTCCCTGACCTCCAGACGTTAACCTGTAAGGGGGGTGGGCAGCCCTGGGGAGGGGCAGGAGGAGAGGCCTCCAATTGCCCACCTCTCCCCAGCAATGAATGAAAAGGCTACAGCCAGGAGCGTTGGCGGGCAATACAAATTGTCCTGCGTCTTCTACAAACGGGCTCCTCCCTGCCACCAGGGTTGGCTATTTTATGCGTGAACATCTATCCAATTGGTGTTTCGATCAATGGACGCATTACAAGCTTTCCCTTTAAAAGCCTAATAAACAACAAGATGGAAAGTAAAATTCTCCATAAAATGACACTTTTAAAAATCCATTTCTGCTGAAGCTCTCGGCGTTTGTACACTCCTGCAGAAAACAAACATCACCAGCCGAGGGGCTCAGTCCACGGAGGCGGAGGGAGGCAGCCCCCGGGGTCTTGGCAGTGAAGTCAGCTGGGGGAGGCTGAGAACCTGACCTGCGTTTCCAACTGGAAGAACAAATATCCAGAATAATCTAGAAGAGGAACAAACCGGCAGCTGTGCCAGGGACGGAGTCCACATAACGCAGTCACCTCCGGGCCAATGTCAGCACACAGGCCTCCACATGTAGACAAGGGGCCATGGCCCACCTCAGACCACAGACAGACAGATCTCCAATTCAGACTCCAAGAGCGCTGCT